TAGCCCAGAATATGTGTTATTCTCTAGTCTAGAGCAAATCTAAAAAGGTTCCCTTGGTGGAATTCTATAATTTTTTTAAAAAAACATCTAATTCTAACTGAACATTTTTCCTGCTATGTATAGAAGGTGAATGAGGAAAAATATAGTATTTTGAAAGTGTAACAAAATATTGAAAACATACCTTTTGCTCACCCTATAAAAATGTCATGGTGATTGCTTTGTGTGTACCACTGTGATCTTCAAATGTTTGTTTGGTTCAGTTATGATGTGCAGGTATACTGGAATTTAATTTTACTTTTTCTCTGTAATGTTTCTCTGCCCACAATAATTAGTAGAGCACAATTTTTTTGTGTATCCTATATCCTACCCAAACTAATAAGAATATTGCATTTCATATTATGTTGGGGAAATAGGGGAATAAACATATATGTTTGCATTAGGGGTGTGTTTTCTCTCCCTGTTCTGCATAAACCACAATGTGGTACTTAATCTTGGAAACCAGGAAGCACAAAGTGTTTCTTTTGGTAGGAATTAAGGTACTTTTCCTACCAGGATAAAAAATAGTAAAGTAGGCTGTTCTCTGCTCCCTGACAGGAGTCACAAAGCAAATAAGCAGAGGCTCAAAACAGGGATGTACACATGGAAGAAAGATGGAAAAATTTTGTTAATCCTCTGACTGATTTGCTGAATATTATCTAGGTATCATAACGTTCTATTTGTTAAATACAAAATCGCTACAGTTCAGCCATTTCATTGCCAAATAAGAATGTTCCTCTTCTTTTTATTACCTTTCAGTAAAATAAATGTCTGATTAGATATCAAGCTTTCAGTTATCACCCTCAATCTATAAATGACTTATTCTAAAAACTTCCTTCCTTCCTTCCTCCCTCCCTCCCTGATTTCTTTTCAGAGAATACTGACTAGAATTGAGTGCCATAAAGAAAAAAAAAAGACTAATTTTAAACATAGTAGTGTGTGTGTGTGTGTGTGTGTGTAGGGAGGGGTAGATTTGATATAAAGAGAGTATAAGCATTTGTGTACATGATAATATGTTTACTGCTTTTAAATAAAAATATTTTACAACTGTTTGGTTTGTAGAAATGTTCTCCATCTGATTTTCTAACACAAGAGCTAGAGTCATAACTTTTAGAAAAATGACTTCTCAAAAGTTTAGGTCTGAAATCTTGTGCCTAATTACTTGCAGCTTTATGAGGCAAATATCCTAAGGCTACCAATGGTCATTAATCAAATGTCCTAAATATGAAATATGAAACAAGTGTGAAGGAGAAATGAAGGTGCTATCCCATTTGTTATCCCTTTTTAATAAAAAAAATGATGCAAAATCCAAACTGGTAACACACAACATTTTTTGTATTCTACTCTAAATTTCATAAAGTTTGCAGTGAATGTATTTATCTCTTCTTGGACATGTTACCTATTCTAGCATTTCCACATAATATCAAAAATGACCCAGAAACTTTCTGCCACCCCCATGAAGAGAATGTGTGTGTAAGCTTTGTGTCTCTTTCATGGTCTCTTTCCTCTGCTTGACAGGTTAAACACAAGCACAGATGTGCATGTAGTGGTTTTTTTTGTTTTTGCTTCAGTAAAAATTTCTACATACATATTTCCCAAACTAAGAAGCAGGGGAATTATTTCAATAAAGCAGAAAAGGTGATATACTGAAATTGATATGTTTATATTTCCACATTGAGTTGTTGTTGGCTAAATTGCTGTCATCTCCCCAGTTTAAAAGGTTTAACTTTCCATAAGCAGATCTTGTCTTAGATCCACAGAATTCAATTGCAAGAACCTATTAAATGATAAGGAAGATTAGAGACATGGACTGTCTTCTGTTGATAGTGAGATACATATTCCTAGCTGTCACAAGAGATATTTTCATATATAATCAGAATTTGCACCAAATGTGACTTTAACCCTCTCTTCCTCCCTCACTCTCTTTTGAAAAATTTCATAAGATTTAAAATATTATAAACTACATGATTATAGGATAAAAGGATCAACAAAAGTTGACTAAAAATAGTATGAAGTCTAACAT